TGGGAGCAAGGATGGTGAAAGAGGTATTTATAAACTTGCAAAAATAAGGGATAAGTAAAGTAAAGACCTCACCCAAGTTAGATGCATCAAGGATGAAAATCAAAAACTTTTGGTGAGAGATGAAAATGTGAATGAAAGATGGTTGAACTACTTCAACAAGCTGTTTAATGGGGATGGAGATACAAGCGAGGTGGACTTGGAGGACGCGTATGATGATATGAATAGAAGATTTGTGCGCAGAATTAATACACATGAAGTTAAGGAGGCTTTAAAGAGAATGAAGACTAATAAAGCCTTGGGGCCTGATGGTGTCCCTATTGAAGTGTGGAAAGGCCTGGGGGATGTGGCAATAAAATGGTTGACCAATCTTTTCAATAAGATTCTCCAGACAAATAAGATGCCTGATGCATGGAGGAAAAGTATGATTGTGCCTATCTACAAAAACAAGAGAGATATACAGAATTGTTCAAACTATAGAGGCATTAAGCTAATGAACCATACTATGAAGTTGTGGGAGAGGGTTATTGACCATCGCTTGAGGAGAAATACCAAGGTTTCTGTAAATCAATTTGGATTTATGCCAGGAAGATGTACCATGGAAGCCATTTTCTTGATGCGACAACTAATGGAAAGATACCGTGAAAAGAAGAAGGACTTACATATGGTGTTCATAGACCTTGAGAAAGCATACGATAGGGTTCCAAGGAAAGTTTTATGGTGGGTTCTGGAGAAGAAAAAGGTCTCACCAAAGTTTGTAAAGACAATCAAGGATATGTATGATGGGGCTACTAAGTGTGTAAAAGCTTGTAACGGAACATCAAGCTATTTCCCTATCACGGTAGGTGTACACCAAGGGTCGGCTCTAAGTCCTTATCACTTTGCCTTAGTTATGGATGAACTAACAAAAGATATTCAAGAGGAAGTGTCATGATGTATGCTTTTTGCAGACGATATTGTGCTTATTGATGAGAGCAAGGATGGTGTTAATAGAAAACTTGAATTATGGAGAAGCACATTGGAATCCAAAGGGTTCACATTAAGTCGAAGCAAGACTGAGTATCTAAAGTGTGATTTTTCTCTGGTACGAGATGGGGACTGTAAGAACCCGCAGCGTTAAATAAGGTATTTAATTAATTAATTATGCAAAATTAGGAAATGATTCCATAATTGACCCTAATAATTATTATGAGACTCTAATAATTATGATAAGTGATTAAGAATGCTGAAAGTCACTTTTTGGAAGAAAAGTGCAGATACCGGTTCTGCTAGTCGGTATAAATGCGTACCGAAAAAGTATCCCGGAAAATTAATGTAAGTGCATGATAATTACTAGAATATTATATAGGACTTATAAAACGAGTTTCAAATCCAAATAATGAGAACTGGTGCCAGAAATTGATATTGGCTATGAAAAGCGCGTACTGGAAAGGTGCTCAGAAAAATATAATAAAAATATGATAATTCTTGTAAAATTGAGTAGGTTAAGAATCCTAAGTTTGGGATTAAAATGCTAAGCATAGAAATTAAAGCTAATACTGTGTGTTTTATTTTAAAGTGGCTATATATATGGCTTTTAAGGGCACACAACCCTAGATAACTAATTCTTGAACGTGGCTTGGGAGATGGTGGCTGACCAGAATAGTGCCTCTTGGTTTCTTCTCCATTTTCTTGACCAAGGTGTCACCTTTACTTGATTTCTTCCATCTTTGAGCTTGCAAACACTTGGTTGGGGTGAGGGTGAGCTTTGTGAGGGTTGTGACCAGCTATTTTTCTGAGTTTGGAGGCTGTCTTCGAGTACCTTGAGGGGTGTCTTGTTTACTAGAGTGTTGAGGGGATTTGTTCTTGCCTTGTCATTGCTCCAAAGAGCAACCTTGGTGAAGAAAAGAGTCATCTTGTGATACATTTTTGTGTACCTTTCTAGTCTGAACCTAGGAGCTTCATTGAGAGCTCCAAGAGCATCACCCTTTATGTTTTGGTGCTAAGGGTAAGTGGTTGAACCTTGAACTTGAGTTCTTTTGCTTAAAAATGGAACCTTGATGCATGTAAATGCTTAAAGATGATAACTTAACGTTGGGGTTGGTCAAACACACCTAGAAATGCATGTTTAAGTGTCTTTAATCGGTAAAACCCAACCTTGGATGGATATCTTCACGAAATGCAGTTTTTGCATTCTGTCGTGAAATATCCAGATATCTGCCAGTGAAATATCCGAATATTGGATATCCGGATATGGGAATCTGTATATCCGGATATTGCATATCCGGATATGGACAGTGAGATATCCGGATATTGCATATCCAGATATATCCCGTGGAATATCCGGATATTCTGGGATTTCGAAGAACAGTAGCTGTGTTGTGAGGACAGTAGGCTATTGGGGGTTTTTGGACCCTAGGTTAATGAAGTTGAACTTCTGTAATTAATGAACTAAGTCAAAGTCATGTGATTAAGAGCTTGTGGCTTTGTTAGAAGCCTTAAGACGTAAAACATAATGAAAAGGAGTGGTCTTTAAGTTGTATGCTTGAGATGCATGAATATTGATATGTTGTTGGTCCATAACAGATTGTGATATTCCTGTGTGGCATTGGATAGCTAGCTTAGAGGTAAGCTTTCGTGTCCTCGGTTTAGCCATGTTGTGGTTCCACATGTCCCATGGGGGTATGGTATATGCATGCTGTGTTACATGCTTTTGATGTTTTGGAAATGTTGTTGAGCTGTTATATGTTAGTGCTTTGTTGATATGCATGGAGGTGTTCCACCTACACGGTAAGCCTGAGTATATAGAACATACAATATGGTGAGGCTGTGGGTGAGGTGTAAGCGGTGTTCCTTGTACTACATGTAGGTATATAGACGTATTCCTACATTTCTCTGCCCAGTAGAATAATGATTACACACATGCCATAGATATATGTTGCACTGTATAGTTTTGGAACTGATATTGGTATAAATGCTTTTAGAACTTATATTGCACATGTAAGTGAGCTTGGGGTGGAAGATCCTTGAGGACCCCTTGTCTTACTGAAATTTCTAGTTTAGAGATCTCACCCCATGTTTGGGGCGCTTATTTCAGGTTCAGGTAATGTTAAGACCTCAGGCGGCAGGAGGCCGGAGCTGAGTTAGATTTGCTGTATTTATGCTGACATGTTGGATGCTGATTTATGTTTTTAGCTTCAGTTTATGATTATGTTTTATCTTGTTGAGACATTGTTTATTTGGTGAGCATGGGGATTGTCCATGACACATAGACTGGTTTATGTCTTGTTTGATTTGGAGTTGTAATAATGTATCAGGATATTGTCCAGACTACGTGATGTAGATCTGTGATTTAGATACTCACTTTATTTATATATATTGAGGTATATCAGTATATGTCTTATTGCAATTTACATACAGGCGATATTTTATGAAATTGATTAAGTAATCAAGTTGGTAATTAATAATGACGTCATAATTGAAAAGAAAAAGAATATTCCGCATTTTTAATTAAGCATAGCTTAATACAATGTAATGATAACACTACCGGATATATACGGGGTGTTACAGGGACCAAGATCCCGTGCATCTAAGTGGTCAAGAGGTACCCAAAAAATATGCTTTTAAATACCTGGGCTCCATTTTGCAAAAAGGTGGAGAGATTGATGAGGATGTAAATCATAGAATCAGAGCAGGGTGGATGAAATGGCGCAGTGCATCTGAGTTTTGTGTGATCGCAAAATTCTCCTTAAGTTAAAAGGAAAATTCTATAAAACAGCAGTAAGACTGGCAATGTTATATGGAGCGGAATGCTAGCCAGCACATAGGCAACATGAGCATAAGATGCGAGTAGCAGAGATGAGGATGTTAAGGTGGATGTATGGTTATACAAGGATGGATAAGATAAGAATGAAGATATTCGACGAAAGGTAGAAGTTGTATCGGTAGCCGAGAAGATGAGAGAACATAGATTGAGGTGGTTTGGACACGTGATGAGAAGGCCCATGGATGCTCCTGTAAGAACAGAAGTTTGTTACCAAGAGCTCAACACAAAAAAAGACAGAGGTAGACCGAAACTGACTTGGGGGAAGGTCGTAAAACAAGATTTAATGGAGTGGGATATAGATTAGCGGACGGTATGTCTTAGAACGGAATGAAGAAAAGCTATAAGTATGGTGGAGGGTTAGACCCGTTGTTATTCCTATGTTCCAAATGGTCCATTTTTAGTCCTTTTCCCCTTCATTTCCCTCACTTCTTCTTTTCCCCTTTCTTTTTTTTACTTTTATTTATTTATATATATATTATTACTATTTTTTTTAAACTGTTTTGTATCTTTTATATGGGTTCATCTACACCGACCCCAATTAATTTGGAATAAAGGTGATGTTGATGTTGATATATTTATTATATATTTTTATATAAATTCAATTCAATCGATTCAACCAATAATTCTTTGGTTAAACCATTGACTAATTGAACCAATATCCTGAGTCTATAACCGGTCTGAGTTTAATAACACTGATATGGAGTCTTGATTAAGAATGATTTAGTTATATAGGATATAAAATAGGTAAAGCGTCTAACAAGGAAATATAATGTAGAAAAAGGTCACATGCAAAGGTTTGAAAAGAATAAGATTTACCTAATCTAGATAAGGTTTTATGAGTATAATGTTCTAGGATATAAGAAAATTTTCTTACCCTCACAATAAAAAAGAGAGAGAAAGTGGAATGATGTAAGTGAAAAATAAGCATGTAGATCCCACCTCTTAATTGTGTGTATAGTAAAGTTTTATTGAGTTATGTAACATGATACTAATAAAATTCATCTACATATCTATGATAGGATAGATGACATTTTTTTTTTTTGATAATCTGATTATTTGATAACTGAAATGTAGCCATACAATTAACAATCAGATACACAGATAATTGTCCACAATTTGGATAGCTTTCTGATGCTTTTCTCAGCAACAAGCTAGTAAAGATAAAATTATGTAAATCACAAAGTGGCCAAGTCTAGTCTCAACAAGAATAGAGTTCGAGGTGTGCATTCAAGTCTTAAAAGTTTGATACATGACATCACCAACAGTATAGACGATAGTAAAAAGGGGCAAACGCAGTAGGTATCATTACTTATGCTGTTATGCAGAATATAGGGGACGCCTATATTCATCAAAATACTGATCACGATCAACAAACACAATTACATAGAGTGCATAAACTATTCCTGGAATATACCCTAGTATTGTCAGGAGCAAACAGATGATGAATTCCACCTGAAAAAAATAAAATTAAAAACAAAATACAGTCCCTTCAATTCTGTCACAATCATATTGTACGAAATTCTAATACATTTGCTATAACAAAATAAAATGGTTCATCTAAAATGTAATCAATTTTTTTTTGTTCGAGTTGAATTAATCGAGTAATTAATAAATAAGTAAAAAAGAAAAATGCAACTTCATCTAAAAAAGAGAATATGATATTATTTTTAAAAAATATAAATTAAATAATAAAGTTACAGTTAAGTAATAGACAAAAATATTTCTGTCTTAACTGTAAAAATATTTATCCACTGTAAACTAACTCTCATTAGTAAGACTTAGAGCCTGTTTGGATCCTTTTATTTTTAAGCTAGAAGCTACTTATAAGCTAAAGCTAAAAAAAAGAAGGTAAAAGCTGTTTGGAAATTACATAAGAAATTTAGCTTAAAAATTACTTAAAAGCACATATTTCAAAAAAATTATCTTTCTCTCTATCTTTATCACTCTTCATTTAAAAAAAAACACACAATTCAAGAAAAACAGATAAGAGCTTAAAAAAAAGCTTCCCATAGGAGCTTTTAATTTTCAGCTTTTTCTTCATTATAAAAAAAAAACTTTTCGTTATAAGAGCTTTTTCCAAAACTTGTTTGGCCTAGCTTATGCTTATAAGTAACTTATAGCTTAAAAATAAGAGGATCCAAACAGGCACTCAGTACAGTGACTTTTTAAAAAAAAAAAAAAGATTTTTCTACAATAGACATCCTTCTTTACCTTTAAGGTAGATCGTATGGACCCTATGTAATAAAAGTATGTAACTTTTATTATTCAATCATTAACAGTTTGACATAAAATTTACAAATAGATATATTGTAGAAATGTTAAAAGTTAAAACTAATTTGATGTATAAAATTTCAGGAACTAGATCAAAAGCAGAGAAAAGATTATGGAAAGAGGAAAGGTCTTGATCTTTAAAAGAAGAAAAAAAAAATTATAAATCAGACTATGTACATCTGAGATCAAGAGGTCAAATTCAAAGGGAAGTTATAGCTAGTGGGGAATAGAACATCATGTCATTGAAAAATTTCAGTCTTTTTTTTATATATAATTTAGTAATGAAGTTCATAAAACGGAAAAGAAAAATTTATCATTTTAATCTCTGACGGTTATCAATGAATAAATGACTCAGATTTTTCACATAATCATATTATAACAAGACAAGACATGAGAACATCTATTCCCTAGCCAAATCATAGTGTTACAATTAGAGTCTATAACATGTTATGTACACATGGTGAACGAGAAATGATCTATTTACAAATTTTCTTTTTTGCAAATTATATTAAGTGTGACCAGTCATACACTCTTGATTGAAGTATGACTGGTCAGATATAATGTAATTTGTAAGAATTTATAAACAAAAAATTTATAAATGTAATATTTCCCGTGATGAATAGCATAATAAATAGCAATATATGAGAGGGATACGTACACTGCAGCAACCATGGCGGAAGCAAACTCCGACTGGAGGGAGTAAGATAGCTATCATGATCTCACAACATATTTCACAGCGAGTGGGCATTTTTCAATCCTCGTACACTTTATTTTCAATCTTAAAGATTGGATCTCGTTTGTGCATTGGCTGCGCTTACGAGGCTCTGCTACTTTCGTTTGAGGACTGAGATGCTAAATGAAACATGTTTTGTTATGTGTCTTTTTATAGCTACTTCGAATTCATCGCTATTTGACCCCATGATCACGGAATCACCAACATGTAATATATGTTATAATAATAACATTTTGTACATATTTGTTGCATTGTAAATGCTCAGTTTGCTTACAACTCTGATGTTATATATCGATATAAACAGAGGATACATGAAGGCAATATTTATAATTTATTTTTTATAAACTCTTACAAATTATACTATGTCTTATCGGTAAGACACGAGTAAAGTTTTACCGGTAAGACATAGTGTAATTTGTAAATTTGTAAAAAACAAATTATGAATATAACTCTCCTCCTCTATTTAATGCTTATGTACGTATTATTAATATTTTTTATTGAGAAAAACAAATATTATGTTGTAAGAAAATTCTGATGTTATGTCATAGAAACAAATAATTGTGAGTCACTATTTTTAAAATAAAAGAAAAGTAAAAGAATTGATGGTTCCACTTTTATATGTATGTAAAAAAATTGATTGTGTCATGTGAACGGAAGAAAATATTACCCTTTTTTATTTCTCCGCCAATTCATTAATTACCCGATCATTTTAGTTTTAATCGAGCAAAATCGCAAGACTGACAAAGTTGGAATAACATGTAACCGTTGATCCATATATTCGGCGGTGTAAGCGATATTATTTAAAAGTTTTATCAAATTATTTCTTTGATATTAAATAAAGAACAATAAGTGTAACAAAATCTTAATTGGGGACTAATTTGATAATATTTTCGCAGATTGAAAAATCAGATTAATGACAATTGACATTATTAAGAGACTAAATCAATATTAAAAATTAAAAATAGCAACACCTAATATTGTGATAATTAGAAATTTTATAATTATTGTGGGCGGCAATTTATATTTTATTGTAGTTTTTCTTTTTCTTTTAATAAAAATGGGTTAAGTTATGATTAATATGAGGGGTGCAATATAAAACACGTTTAATTAAGTGATCCTTTTATTTGAAATTGGATATTTGTAATACTAATTAATATGGGTAACAGAATAGGACTAACTCATAAGACTGAGAAGGAGACTAAAGTTAATAAGTTTGACTAAGTTGCTTTTACATTGATAGAACATTGTAGAAATAGTCACTGCACAACTTGCCATATTAATATTTGCGAATAAATAGTTGTGTGAACTATATAGGAAGATTGTAATCCTCCAAACCTTGCAAAAATATTGGAGCAAACAAGACAATATTTTGAGATACTAAGAATCATGTCTTCAACAAATAACACTAAACCCTAATCCTAATTATATTTTTCTTGCAAATAAAACTAAATTGATAAAAATCTTTTAAAGACTAAAGAATAATCTTTTAAGGAAAATATTATATTTACTACCTTTTTTTCTTACTACCTCTTACTACCAAATCTTAACGGTTGATTTCCGTCAATCTAACTGTTATAATTTATTCAAAATTAATAATTAATTAATAAGCGTGACTCAATAAATTATAATAGTTAGATTGACGGAAATCAACGGTTAAAATTTGGTAGTAAAAAAAATTAGTAAATATAACCTTCCCTATGTTTTAAAATGAAAATAAGGATTTACTCATTCTTTTAACAAAAAAATATTTCTGCAGTTACTGCAGATAAATTATCTGTATTTATTCCCAAAATGACGTCGTTTTGAGTTTGAAAAATTAAAAAAATATAATTATAAAGACTATAATGTTGGATTATTTCTCCTTAATTAGATACAAGTTCCAATGCATGGAAGAATGAAAAGGCTTCATGGAAAAATGAAAAGATTTCATGGGAGAACGGAGAGTTGTATTGAAATTCTCCACATTAAATGAAGAAGAATCTAGAGCATTGAAGATATCCCTCCTAGCCATCTATAAATAGAAGAAGAGATGAGATCAACAAAGTGAGGTGAAGAAATCCTCCATGAGAGCCAACTGAATACCTCTAGGGAGAAGTTTGAGTGAGACCTCTATAGGGAAGTTTGAATACCACCATTATAAGTAATGCTTTGTTTCTGGGAGTCTTCTTTTGAATCATGGACTCTAAGTTGTTCCATAATTCGTACGCGTTCGTGAACTCGTACACGTGCTCAAAGAGGCTTTTGTCTATGTATTTCCTGATTGTAGCTACCGCCTTACGACTCAGGATCTCCCACGCCTTATCAGTTTTGTCTGCCGGTCTCTCATCAAGGATAATGGGCTCATGTAAATCTTTGCAGTAGAGATGATCTTCCATCATCGGTCTCCAATAAGTGAAATTGTCTGCGGTCAGCTTAAACATATCTCTGTCATGTTTTATGCCACTGTATTCTTCTCCATCTCCCTCCTCTTGCGTTTTATTGTTTCGCTTCCGCAATTGACTTGAGGGTCGGACTTGATCCAACAGTGGTATCAGAGCTAATGGTGGATTGGCCTGTGGTGATCCGAGTATGCCTTGATATGGGAAGCCAAGGTCTTGATGAGTGCAGCCATGCAAGCCTTGATGAAAGAGCCAATGTTTGATGAGAAGCCCAGCATTGATGAACCCCATGAATAATCGAAGAAGCTTCTCCTTGAAGGAGAAAGAATGTGGGCCTAGGACTTCTGCTTGAGGGGGAGCAAGTACTGATTATACTTGCTACGAAGGAGCCGATATGTAGATCCCCTTTAATTAAGTCGAAAAGGGGGAGAATTGTTGGATTATTTCTCCTTAATTAGATATAAGTTCCAATGCATGGAAGAATGAAAAGGCTTCATGGGAAAATGAAAAGACTTCATGGGAGAACAGAGAGTTGTATTGAAATTCTCCACATTAAATGAAGAAGAATCTAGAGCATTGAAGATATCTCTCATAGCCATCTATAACTAAAGGAAGAGATGGGATCAACATGTTGGGCTTCCTCCTTCAATGCGAAGCCCAAGCCCATTGAGGGATTTTCCTAAAAACCCTAACCCTAGATCTCACCTCCTCTATATATTCATTAGTTATGGGTGGAGGCTAGGTTAAGAGATTAGAGAGAAAATTTGAGAGAATTATTTGATTGTTTGAGCAAAGCTTTATGCTTTGCATTTGAGTGATCTCTAGAGAGAGTTTGAGTGAAATATCTCTAGGGTAGTTTGATTATCACCATTGTTGGAGAGGTTGAGTTAACCACCACATTGGTGTGATTGATTCTTTGTAACCATTATTTTCATAGTGGATTTTTGATCTGGACTAGGTCCCGTGGGTTTTTACTTCTTCATTGAAGAAGATTTTCCCACATTAAATCTGGTTGTGTTCTTCTTCTCTCTCTCCTGTTTTGTTTTTTTCGTTTTGATTTTTCCGCTGTGCTCCCTGACCTGGTGAAGTTCAGGCCGAGGTATTGTCGAGATCCGAGATCAGGATCTTGTTGATTGACTTCCGCACAAAGGCTGCTTAGCCGAGCTTGAGGGAACCGAGTTTTCCCAACAGTGGTATCAGAGCCCGAGTTCGACGGGTTCTGAGCGAGACGAGATGGAGACCAGTGGCATAACCAATGATGAAGACATGTTCAAGTTGACCGCAGATAATTTCACCTATTGGAGACCGATGATGGAAGATCATCTCTACTGCAAAGATCTACATGAGCCCATTACCCTTGATGAGAGACCGGCAGGCAAAACTGATAAGGAGTGGGAGATCCTGAGTTGGAAGGCGGTAGCCACGATCAGGAAATATATTGATAAAAGCCTCTTTGAGCACATGTCCGAGTTCACGAACGCGTATGAGTTGTGGACGAAGCTGGAGTCCATGATTCAAAAGAAGACTCCCAGGAAAGTTGAAGATGGATGTCGTGACAGACAGCCTCCTGAGCGAAGAAGTCAGGAGAAGAGAACGAGGTGTTTCGAGCACGTCTGAGGCCAACGTTGCTGAAAAAAAAGGGAAATCTGACTCTCGAGGTAGAAGAAAAAGCCGAGGTAGAGGTCGTGACAGACGAGAAAAGTCCAGAGGTCGGTGAAAGCCGAAATATGAGTTGAAGTGCTTTTACTGTGGAAAGACAAGCCATAAGAAGCCAGACTGCTGGACCCTACAGAATGACGAGAAGAACGGCTCTGTGAAGTCGGATCAGATTATTCCCAAGAAGAGGGAAGACAAGAGCACCACTGTGGTGGCTGCCAACTCGGATGACGAGATATTCCTCCTTGGTGAGGATAATTATTTGAATGTTTCATATGATGACTGCACCTGGATTGTTGACTCCGGTGCCTCCTTCCACGTTACTCCACATAAAGGTCTTTTATCCTCTTACCGAGGTGGTGATTTTGGAGTCGTGAAGATGGGAAATCAAGTGACCAGCAAGATTATTGGTGTCAGAGATGTAACTCTGACCACGGATGTCGGATGCCGACTTGTGTTGAAAGATGTAAGGCATATTCCTGACATGCGTTTGAACCTAACCTCGGTAGGCAAACTTGATGATGTCGGGTTAGTGAACTACTTCGGTAGTGTTAGATGGAAGCTGGCCAAGGGAAACTTGGTCGTGGCCCGAGGTAAGAAGGAAGGCTCCTTGTACGTGATGCAAGGAAAGATCAATGGCGGAGAAGCCAATTCTGTCCGAGATGAACCTAGCTTGGAGCTATGGCACAAGCGCCTCGGCCACATGAGCGAGAAAGGGCTCCAGATCCTGAACAAGAAAGGATTATTGACCGGGTTGAAAGGTCAAGCGTTGGATAGTTGCACACATTGCCTAGCTGGAAAGCAGCACTGGGTTTCTTTTGTGAGACCGGATCAACCAAGAAGACGAAGGAATATTCTTGACCTCGTCCATATTGATGTCTGCTCCATGTCGAAAAGATCCCTTGGAGGAGCTCAGTACTTTGTTTCATTCATTGATGACCATTCCCGCAAAGTTTGGGTATATTTGTTGAAGTCTAAAGACCAGGTACTCCAATCCTTTAAACAATTCCATGCAATGGTTGAAAGGGAGACTGGCAAGAAATTGAAGGTGGTCCGATCTGATAAT